CAGAGTAAATATTTCATTTGCTTTTGGAGGTAAAATAATGCGGTTAGATTTACTTATATGACACAAACATTTCCCACAGCAGCGTGTCACGTAGTTTCGTATATAATTCAAAGCAGGGTATTCCTCCGAAACTCGCGTCATTTTACAGAGGCTACGAGTGATTATGACGTACGATGATAAAGAAATGTACCCTAACCCTAGAGCGGGACATTTTTACGGTTCACCATAGCGATGCAGCAAATCCACCCAGCATTGTTGAAGTGGTCCGTCATCCGAAGCAACGACACAAAAACAATGAATTACAAGCTCAAAAGTGCGCAAATAAGTATGGAGAAATGTGCGCCTCTTTGAATTACACCAAGGGACAGGAAGAGATCCAACGTCATCATCAGACATTGTCTATCCACTGCTGGATAACGGCCTCCCACCACGTTTTCATTCCTAACGGATTGCTGCCACAATCTGTCTCGCTCCATCTAAAATCGTCGCTCCATCTCCAGCGTACTCCTCTATACTTCGGCTGCCACTTCAGTTTGGTTCTTCATCCAGCGGTTGTTATACAATGGCTGAAAATGATCACGTCGATCATGATGATATAGGAGTGATGAAAGAGACATAACGTTTGGCTTGCTTCCCTTTGGCATACTACTCACATTCGATATCAGTCTCAGTTGTAATGAGGAAGTCATCTGCACGCGCCTCTAATAACCAATTTACCCGGAATGAGTCCCATCTCGTCAAATCAACCCACACAGAATGTGTAAGAAGCACAGAACCATTTGTGCATATGCAAAACAAACACATGCACATTTACCGAAGAACTGCATTGTGGTCTTCATGCCTTCGATCTCCATCAAAATACAATTTTATAAATCTGGCCAAATTGGCACCAGCAGTGATATGCGGGGATAAGTCAACTGTGGGCCCGTTCGTTCTCATGAGGACTCGTCGTGGTTTAATGGCCTGCACTGTTATCCTGTTTTGATGGGTTGCCTCGTCAATTACAGATTTTAATTCTTGCCATATCTCAGAAGCCAAGCAGAACTGAAACTGGATCGTGCTTTGATGGTCGTATTAAAACAACAAAAATGTTGTAGCTCTACTCTGGGGCTACACGATGGTGCCGAAGTGATCAGTGCAGTACTGTGTAGCAACATCCATCGTTGTACTCTGATATATTTCAAGGTCTTTGCTCACCAAACCGCAATTGACTACCGGCACGTGTTCAAGACAAAATCGCCACGACCCGCGCGGCGTGGGGAAGCCCTCATCCATCCAGCAGAGGATTGACAAAAAAATCCACGACCTTATAAGTTGTACAATTTCCAGGCACGAATAAAAAATATGTATTCTTGTCCTTCGTATGACTACGTTCACAGAATGTTGGGCAACCGCACCACGTCACCGTGGTTATTACTGTCATAGCTCGAGATGAGACGGATTTTTGATTTACGTAAAAAAAATTCCGGTTTTAGTTCCGTGACTTGACCGTGGGCTGTCAAAGCGCAATTTGACGGATGATTTAAAATAATAGCCTGCTTTGCACAAATCCCCAACTGAAATATCGCACAAATTTAACACACGATCTGGTGACACTGCAATATGACTTACGGGGCCGCGTATTTCCCCAGTCGACTGCGGTTATTTACATAGCGGCATTAATGGCCATTCCAGTCGCCCTAACAATGCCCAACAAACAATGGGGCACATTTGACATTGTAATAAGAGTAACGGAGAATACATTTCAACAGGTAGGCTTTCGCGGGTTTACTCTCCCACACACCTGTGTGCTGAACTAGTAATGAATCTGCATGTTTTGCTTACGTAACAACCCCTACTAATGTTGGGTGGTGGCGGGTTTAACGACACATTTACGCGCTCCAACCCAAAAACCTCTATTACGGAGAATACGCATTGCATTCGTTGATTGCGTAAACGTCATAAAAAATCACTAGAAATAAACAAAACTAAATGTCATCACCATTAGCAGCAGTCGTTGCCTATCTACTGCTGGATGAATTGCCGAAAGCCGGAGTCCAACTCAAGTCGCCGGGTTCCTAGGGCAGTGCGTTAACTTTACACCACCGCTCCCGCCCCCCCCCCCCCCCAAATCACTCGAAACACTATTTTCACATCACTTTTTTTGAGGAAGCCCAGGAAATAATATGTTCGGCTGATCGGCCATCCGAGGAAACTTCCCATGTGTTTTTTTTACGAGAACTACAAAACACCACCCGACGAGCCCGACAGATTTGCTCAAGATGTAGGTTCTTTGTAGCAGAGACGCCACCTACCGTACACGTGGCTGGCATTGCAGGTCTGACGGCCGGGGGTCATCAACCAAAATAACGGGCAATTTTTTTTCAAATTCGGTTAAAAAAAACCCCTAAATATTTAAAGAGCCGCAATGCATGCGAATACGAGACGGTGGTCTCCTTAATAAATAATTTCACGAAGCGGTCATTAAAGCGCCGCAGGTTTGCCGAGCCCTGCTTTAGAGTGTGAAGAACCGAACAAGGTGAATTCCATCTGGCTACCATGAGAGATTCGTTCATGAGGCTATCCACATATACAAACACAGAGACAATTTCAACCGAGAAAATGGATTCTGGCTTAGCAATCATTGGAAGGATTTGATACACCATTTCGGGTCTTAATTGATTGTTCACGCTTACGGTGGCTTTCAGACCGCATCCATTATTTTCGTCTCCCCACTCCTCTTTTCCGAACATAGATGGACTCGTCCATCTGAATAACTGCCAAATCGCTCTCCGTGGTGCTAACGTTTAAAAAACCCGCCACTTTTTTCAAAGTTTCCTGCGGTGGTTTTCACACCTGATGATGATTGCTTGTGTTGCAGTCGAAACGTCGTGATAATTTTATTGTTTTATATATTTTTTATTTTATTGTTTCCCTTCTACGTGACTTTACCGAAAGAACCAAGAATAAGGTGAATTCCGTTTTAGATTTTTTTTTTTAACGGCTGCCCGCAAAGGGGGACAGCCAAAAAGAGCCGCATGCGACTCCAGAGGCGAAGGTTGCCGACCTCTGGTCTAAACGTTTTGTTTATTTCAACATCATCAGCCAGTGTTAATCCGCTTTTGGACGAAGGCCTCCCCAAGCCGTGGCAATCTCTCGCAATCGTGCGCTGTAATTTGCCGATTAATATTTTAAAATAGATGTATTGCTCGCATCCAATCGTCTACGTAATTGTTTTTTTTGTCAATCCCTATGACAGCAGCAATTTTAAGGGGGCCACGTAAACCTGCAACCACTGGAGGCACTGACTACATTCATATTTTGTTTGTTGCGGTTGCACCCGACTCAAGAGCCGCTTGGATCACAGGGCTATACCTAATAAATGAAACTTTAAACTTGAACTTGAAACAACGATGGCAAAGAAGGGTAGATTCTTAAATCGTGACAATCCATCCAATATCGAGGAGTCATTGTCACGTACCTCATACGCGAGTAATAAATTACGGGGCTTGCCAACACATTTCTGGACAGAATCCCTCTCAAAACGCTCTGAAGGTGTATTTGACCATACTTCACCATGCTGGTCAGTGCAGGTTGGTGAAGGGCCCAGAACTGGCTCACGTATCATTCGTCAGGGGAGATCCAGGCCCGGTTTCAGATGTCACACCACTGATGTTAGTGGTCGGAAATCAAACACGGGTTGCTGGGTTCGTAGCGCAATCCCATAAACCGCTGCGCCACTACTCCACTTTCACTGAATGCTCATTTAACGAATCAAACGCATAATAGCAATTTGAAATAGCGTGTTTCAAAAAAAAGTGCTATATGTTTGTGCAGAAAAGTATTGTAAACGAATCGAGGACTGTGGACGATGTTGTTTACACGGGACCGGGCTGCCGACAATGTGCATTGTGTAGCTCATTTTTGGCTCAGACGAGGGCGCTATCGTCCGTTATTGCATTGCAAATAAAGTACCGAGCTCACAGTCAACCTTGATCCATCCACTGCTGGATGAAAGTCTCTCAAAGCCAATTTCACGCGGTCTCGCGATGCAACAAATCCGTCCAGCTCCTGCAAGCCAGCTGATTTCATCACTCCATCTCCGCTGAAGGATGTCCTCTCGGGCGTTGAGTTATACTCGGCCACTGGCCAAACAGCAATCCAAATTCAAGTCCTGTCACTTTCCAATTCACGTTCGCGTTACATTCCCATTGGGACTTATGCGTCCAATATTAAACTTTAGCGCATTTCTAAATTGTAATGCACCTTAACATCCGTGCTATGGCCGAGGTAATATTACAGCACCTATTTTTCTACACCAATTTCCAATTACATGAACTCCAGTTCTCATACGCCGACCATATTACACACCAATTCAGACCTTATTGGTCACCCTGTGCCCTTATAAATCTCAACGTTCATCCTACAAAGTCCCATCACAAGGGAGAAACACAAAAAGACAAAAACATATATTTTTTCCACCGTATTGAAACGGCTGTACCGTTTCCCTGTACAAGAATTCGGGTAACCTGTACGGGTTGCCAGCTATGAGTCCTGAAGCAGCAACATACCGACCAAAATTCTGGTGCACAACTGCACCAACCTAAACTCTGTTGAATTCGTGCACCAATTCCCGTTCTAGTGCATCACCTACTGCACCAAACTCCGTTAAGCATCACTACATCAACTGCAATTCCAGTTCAAAATTACACCAACCACCGAAATCAACGAACAGTTACACCAACCCCAGTTCCAATGCATCGCTTTCTTCACCAACCTTAGTTTAAGTGATCAATGACCAGAACCCCTTCCCTGTGCACCTTTACACCAGAACCGGGTCGAGTTGCGACTCCGCTTCATACCAAGCCCCATATCCGTGCATTTCCTCTTTATACTTGATCCGAGATCCGGTGCAACGTCGCCTACTGTCAATCGCAATACTAGCACACGTTTTACCCCAGCTCCAAGTGCGTCTGTACACCCCCCCCCCCACCCCTGTTCCAGTGTGTCTCGTGCGACACCAACCTTTGTTCAAGTGCACAATTACACCAGCCCCTGGTCCTCTTCATTCCCAACCAGTTCCTCCTACTCATCACAGCTCTAACATCACCACCCATCACCACCATCGTCAATCTCGCTATAACGGTCCGGTCCCTAGCCGGCGAGCACAACAGAGGGGTTACACCACCACCACCACACACACACAGAGGGTTGGTGACAGGAGCGAGAGATCAGCCTGCAAGCGTGTGCGTGCGCTACTGTATGGCACACGTGGGGAGCGGTAGCGCACTGCGTGGTGCTGGCCACCCACCCACGTGCCGTTCCGGCCTCAACAGGAGCAGCTCCCTACCAGAACTTGCCCCAACAGTCTGCTAAGGCTACACAGGGGGAGAGAGAGAGGGGGGGGGGTCTTTGTATCGCACCGTCAAACCACGCACGCACACACAGTCTCCATCCCCCCACCACCGCTTCCATCCTTACACGGCCTGTATCCTCACACACACACACGAGTCTTCATCTACAGTCTACACAGACAGCCCTAGGCGTAATCGCGGCGGGGTGACAACGGTGTGGGATGATGATGAAGATGATGATGAAGATGATGGAGGGGGAGGAGGAGGGAGCGTGGATTCGGCCGGACCGCCAGGCCCGCGCTTAGAGCACAGCTCTCCACGAGACCCTCGCTCACAATGGACGCGGTGGTAGGAGGAGACGCATCGGGTGCTGCTGCTACTACTGTTGCTACTGTTACAACAATAGCAGCAGGAGGAGGAGATGGAGCTAATATCAGAACCCGCCACCGCCGCCTTCCCCTGGAGCGACTGAGTGAGAAGAAACTGCAGCTCCCCTTCTGTTAACCCGCGTGCCTCTCGCCTGTCTAGGTGCTAACACCACCCCTGGCACACGGGGAGGGGACTACTACCACCACTACCACTACTACCACCACCACTACCACCACCACCACTACCACCACCACTACCAGCACCACTACTACCACCACCACCATTACTACCACCACCACCACTACCACCACCACCACTACTACCACCACTACTACTACCACCAACACCACCACCAACACCACCACTACCACCACCACTACTACCACTACCACCACTACTACCACCACCACCACTACCACCACCACTACCACCACCACTACCACCACCACCACTACTACCACCACCACTACTACCACCACCACTACCACCACCACCACTACCACCACCACCACTACTACCACCACCACTACCACTACTACCTCCACCACCGCTACCACCACCACCACTACTACCACCACCACTACCACCACCACTACTACTACCACTACCACCACCACCGCTACCACCACCACCGCTACCACCACCACCACTACTACCACCACCACTACCACCACCACTACTACTACCACTACCACCACCACCGCTACCACCACCACTACTACCACCACCACTACCACCACCACCACTACTACCACCACCACTACTACCTCCACCACCGCTACCACCACCACCACTACTACCACCACCACTACCACCACCACCACTACTACCACTACCACCACCACCGCTACCACCACCACCACTACTACCACCACCACTACCACCACCACTACTACTACCACCACTACCGCCACCACTGGGGTACAGCGGGGAGCAGTTCGTGAATCTCAGATTTAAAGAGCGAGCGAGGGAGGGAGCGAGGCCAGGCAACGAGAGACGGCGCTTCACCAGAGGCGAGGCTGCTGCTGTTCCTGCTGCTGGTTCACCTTGTCCTGCTGCTGGTTCACCTTGTCCTGCTGCTGGTTCACCTTGTCCTGCTGCTGGTTCACCTTGTCCTGCTGCTGGTTCACCTTGTCCTGCTGCTGGTTCACCTTGTCCTGCTGCTGGTTCACCTTGTCCTGCTGCTGGTTCACCCTTGTCCTGCTGCTGGTTCACCTTGTCCTGCTGCTGGTTCACCTTGTCCTGCTGCTGGTTCACCTTGTCCTGCTGCTGGTTCACCTTGTCCTGCTGCTGGTTCACCTTGTCCTGCTGCTGGTTCACCCTTGTTGTTGTTGTTGCTGCTGCTGCTACACGGGAGGCGTCCTCTCGTCTCACCCCCACCCCATCCACCGACCCACCCCCTGGCAGAGAGTGCCCCCTCGCAAGCAAGGAAGGTGAGGAGAGTTGGTGGTGGGGAGAGGTGGTGGTGGTGGTGGGGAGAGGTGGTGGTGGGGAGAGGTGGTGGTGGGGAGAGGTGGTGGTGGGGTGGGTGAGGAGAGTTGGTGGTGGGGGTGAGGAGAGTTGGTGGTGGTGGTGGTGGGTGAGGAGAGTTGGTGGTGGTGGTGGTGGTGGGTGAGGAGAGTTGGTGGTGGGGGTGAGGAGAGTTGTTGGTGGTGGTGGGTGAGGAGAGTTGTTGGTGGTGGGTGAGGAGAGTTGGTGGTGGTGGGGGTGAGGAGAGTTGGTGGTGGTGGGTGAGGAGAGTTGGTGGTGGTGGTGGTGGGGGTGAGGAGAGTTGGTGGTGGTGGTGGGGAGAGTTGGTGGTGGTGGGGTGGGTGAGGAGAGTTGGTGGTGGGGTGGGTGAGGAGAGTTGGTGGTGGTGGTGGGTGAGGAGAGGTGGTGGGGTGGGTGAGGAGAGTTGGTGGTGGTGGTGGGTGAGGAGAGTTGGTGGTGGTGGTGGGGGTGAGGAGAGTTGGTGGTGGTGGTGGGGAGAGTTGGTGGTGGTGGGGTGGGTGAGGAGAGTTGGTGGTGGTGGGGTGGGGTGGGTGAGGAGAGTTGGTGGTGGGTGAGGAGAGTTGGTGGTGGTGGTGGTGGGGGTGAGGAGAGTTGGTGGTGGTGGGGTGGGTGAGGAGAGTTGGTGGTGGGGTGGGTGAGTAGAGTTGGTGGTGGTGGTGGTGGGTGAGGAGAGTTGGTGGTGGTGGTGGGGGTGAGGAGAGTTGGTGGTGGTGGTGGTGGGGAGAGTTGGTGGTGGTGGGGTGGGTGGGGAGAGTTGGTGGTGGTGGGGTGGGTGAGGAGAGTTGGTGGTGGATGAGGAGAGTTGGTGGTGGTGGGGTGGGTGAGGAGAGTTGGTGGTGGTGGGGTGGGTGAGGAGAGTTGGTGGTGGTGGGGTGGGTGAGGAGAGTTGGTGGTGGTGGTGAGGTTGGAGAGAGATGGAACCGGCGGGCCCTTTGGCAGTGGAGAATTGGGGAAAAGGAGTAGAGGGACCCGCACACATTAACTCGTTCATTCGTTCACTCGTTCATTCGTTCACTCGTTCATTCGTTCACTCGTTCATTCATTTCGTGATCGGCGGCTGAGATGGTCAAGTGGAGACCCCCCTCCCCCCAGCAGCTTTAAATCTAGAAGCGGTACAGAATGTGATTATTTGTGGAAGGAGAAGCCGTCATCCATTTGACAATCCGACAATCCATGCACTCGCTCGTACATTGACAATGCAGCAGCAGGAGCTGCTGCTGCCTGCTGGAGAATCCCTCGCGCGGTGGAAACATCGAGAATTGGTTGGGGAGGTTCACCAAACGCATTCGTTCATTCACTCACCCGTGGGACTGTCTTTGTCGTTGCCTGGTGTCAGTGGGGTGAAGGAGGCGAAGAGAGGAGGACAAATCACCGCAATGTTTTTCATCATTCGCAGCCACCCCCACCCACCGATCCACCGCTGGATGAATGCCTTATCACCACCCCTCCCGTGCGTCTTGTCGATCGTGAAGGTTGTTTAACCGAAGGCCGTAGCCATTGAGTCAACATAATATATATTGTATTTACGGTCTTGGTTTAATCAGATCTCTGCCGTAGGATTTGGTGAATTAGGTGGCCAAGGATCTGCTCGGATAACGATTGGCCTGCCGATGTTGTTAGCCCTTGCCCGGATGGCTTGCAGTGCGCTAATCACTATGCCACCGCTCAACCAACACCACCACCAACACCACCACCACCACCACAAAATGCAACGTTAAATCCATATTGTGTAATGTACAGTCGTGAATGCGTCTCAAACGACGGTGTTGTGGCATTCACCATCGGGGGGGAGTCTTGATGCAAGCGTCTCTTTGTCTCGATGCACTCTGTGGGTTTGCTGTGGGTTCGCCCCGTCTGGCTCTTCATCATTTGCTACTTCCCCCAATTCTTGGCAAGGTCCCCCAATTGCGGCTAACCCATAGATACCACATTAATAACAAATAAAAAAAACGCAGCGCACTTCATTCAGCCCATACGCACTACCTGCTTTATGTAACGTGCCTTTTCTGGCCTTGTTGACATGCCGTATAAGCTATTGATGTTGTATATCGTGTATGTGCAGTGTCACGGTCACAATAGTATGCAGTATTATCTATGTAGATTAACACGGGGAAGACAAAAGCGGTCGGGGTTGTTTTCTGGCCACACACACACCACCACACATCGTGCGCCGTACCAGCCTTAATAGGTGCTCGCAAACAGCACTTGATCCAACAGTCTGATTAAGGCTCTTTGGTGTAGGTGGATAGTGGATACCTTGTAATTTATTAAACTTTTAATCCAGGACTTACTATGTTACATTGTTCACCAACGCGGCCTTTGCACACAGTTCCACATTCACCATATTGTGGCATAAACTCGCCTTATTCAGTCAATGCCTTCGCACGGGTGCTGCATAATTTCATGTAATTTCAAGTGAGAGGTGCTCTTTAGTACTGTATAGCAGTTTGTCACATGTAAATTTACATCGGGTGGCAGCTGATGTGCTATGTTTACAACCGTAGGTAATGAACGTTTCCCAACAACATAACATTTCCTCTATATTCTTGGGGGCCCGCTATTGTTTCCAGCATTTTGTAGGTTTCCTTCAAAGTTTTCCCTGCATGTTTACATTCTGTACAGTACGACATTCCATCGTGAAAAGAGTAACTGTCGCAGACTTGGCTTATATGGTTTTGGTGTAATGGTTCGCACACTGGCTTGCAATCTAGAGCCTACCGGTGAGTTTCCATCTCCCAGCTCAGTAGTTGAACCAATTGGGTGAGTTTTTTTATTCCACCCCCAGCCTGCTTTTTGTCTATCCTACAGTGTCAATGGGTACACCTCAGTCAATCAGCAGGTAATGCTTGGGTGAATGGTGAAAGTGTGTGCACTCTCATTCCTTTGAAGACGTCTGACCAGGGTAGTCGGGGTTATGCTAAATACCCTTTAGTGGAGCTCTCTTGAAACAATTGTGGTGGTCGGTCTTAATAAAGAGTTTGCAGAATCTTCAAAATCAAGACGTTCATTTATTCAAACTGTTACACAATGTGTTATGGCAGTGCCTGAAAATGGATGGATCAGTCTGATTTGTTTCAGTTGTCAAGCGAGGCATGTTATAGGTTAAAACATTTTAATGTTATTCAACTTCAAAGTTTAATTCGCTAATACATTTTTTAGGGTGCCAAAATAACGGAGCAGACGTTTCGGTTCACAGATTGCTAGTGCACATCTGCTTCCCATCGGGCGAGCTGGAGAACATTGGAATTGGTTGAACACAAGTTTTTACATTTTATATGGTGAACAAAATAATAGTAAAATGAATAGTCAAATGTCAAAAAAATAGTGGCGATTTGAGCGGCCTTTATGTTGAAAAAAATCATCAAATAATTTCTTGGGACCTCCCTTGCCAGTATCAAAATATAAGAATAGGGTAAAACCTATTATTTTAAATAATTTCTACCCACCAACGTGAAATTGGACTCAAAGATAAAATTGTAAAACATTTGCTTGCTCTTCAACATTCCAGTTTTTGCTGATACACCAAACCAAATCGCTGAATATTTGGCCACGTGACAACTGGATTGGCTTTGCCCTGTCGGGTGGTGGAAGATTTTTGTTTAAACACATAGACGTTATGCCTACAGCAGTGTTCTTCATTGCAAGCCTAAGCGGGCCACTGGCGGCCCCTGGTGGCCTTTAGGGCGGCCCCTGACGTGCAGCTCCTGACAATGCCAAAAGAGGGAAAACACCCCCCATCATGCTGTAAAACCTCAATGGTTTAAAATGTTTGGCGGCCCTCACACTTTGTAATTGTTTTGTGGAAACAAACATACTGTAAATTCAAAATGTATCAATGTGTCAAGTATATCTTTCGGTTATAAAGCCACATGAATCGGGGAGGTGTTGAGCATTAGTCTGTGCGTGCACTTCGCAAAATTCATCATCAGCCATGATCTATCCACTGCTGAATGAAAGCCCCCCCCCCCCCCAAGCCGTTGACCATCTCCCGTGGACTTGCCATGGGCTGATTTCATCGCTCTTACTTCCGTGGTGCAGTCCTCTTAGGCGCGTTGCCATCTTTGGCTTCCTCTGTCGTGAGTATCGACCACTGGCTGTCATACGTTAGGGGTGTAACAATTTGCTCCCTTTCGATTAAATACATTTTCATGATTCAGGATTGCGATTTAATGGGAAAAAAACTACACTGTGGTGATTGTAGTGGCCTCTAGTTGCTGGAGGAGCCCCATGAACCCATTGCATACAATATAAAGTCAAAAGCGAAAATCATTTCCTGCTCAAGTGAGCATTGAAGGGTCGCTCCTCTCCTGTTTACAGCGTTAAACCAGTTATGTTCATTCCACACTCCGATGGTGGGGACGAGTCGTTCCATAGGACAACCACTGTTGGCTCCTTCACAAAGTGGTGCTCATTATATTTACAATACGATGCATGTGTCGTAAGCTTAATAAAGAAATATGAATCCATCCATCGATGCATCATTACACCCCGAAAAAAACATTTCACAGCCGTTTGTATATCCACGGCTGGGTGAAGCTGGCCTAATGCCGTGTTAGTCATGGGGGATGTTTGACCATACTTCACTATTCTCGTCAGTGTGGGTTGGTTAAGGGGGAACCATGGTCACGGATATTAGTTGGGTTCATAATACGGTGCACCAACCACTCTGCCACCGATTTGCGCCAAGGAATATAAGACACAGATAACCCAATTCTGTCATTGAGACCAGTTAGATGTGCACATAAGTGCTGCCACATTAATATTAATAACGTGTAGACGCTTCAGTTGAATTGTGTAGGGCCCTCAGCACTCTGCCGTGTGCATCAGCAGAGCAGCTGCAGAGAGAGAAAGAAATCACTGTGCAATCTACTGCTATGTACTATGTATGTTGAACTTCTTTCACACCGTACGTAGCCAACCATGAGAGAGCTACGTACAGTTTTAAAACATGAACGTGGAAGAGTAGGCCATATACCTTGAGAGTGCATCTCTGGCGCTCTCTCGAATTAGAGGCCCTTCCGTCAGCAAGTGCAAATCTACTTCCGAAATACGAAAGTATTATTGCACTGCTTACAATATTGATCAGCAGCACATTATTCATTCGGAGTAAAAAAAAAACAATTAAAAGCCAGGTTGAAAAAAATCTAATTTTAGAAGTTTACCGAAAGATATTCGATTTTTGTCTAAGCGCGCAGTTTGCCGGGAAGTAAGTTTCAAGCCTTAAGCCCGGCGTACGCGAAGTCGTGCTCCCCGACACTTTTGTGGTGTGAGCAAGCAGTAGGGCGTCGAGATGTTAACTCCATTGCCTGGTGCACAGGAGGTCGTGGGTTCGATCCCGACCCTGACTGACGCCGGTATATTTGGAATTTGTTTGCGTGTTCTCCCCATGGGCACGTGCATTTTTCTCCGGGTCCTCCGGTGTTTTGCCCTCCACATTTAGAAGCACGTGTTTAGAGTAATTTGACTGCTGTAAATTTCCACTTGATGAGCCACTTCGTTGAGCAATAATTTGTGGCCAGGTTGCTTCTGAAAAAGACCCATATAGCTCAGTGGGTCTCACCTGGTAAAATAAATTAGTTTAAAAGTTTAGTTGGTTGCATCACTTTTTCTTTCAAAAGTGTCCATATTCAGTTAAGAAGAGGAACAGTAAACAACTGAGTGCCTTTTCCAAGTCCAAACTTGTCACACGTTTAATTTTCGATTTAAAGCTTTCGTGACTGCAAGGATTCATCTTCTTTGGTTCTTTCGGTAAAGTCACGTGACTTTACCGAAAGAACCAAAGAAGTTGTCACACGTTTGTCGACTCCCGGCCTGTGTTCACGATCAGCCTATTAAGACGTTTCCCCCCCCCCCCCCCCCCCCCTCTGGCTATAAGTGACTGCGGCATAGTATGCAAAAATAAATACGCCAATTATTTCTGTACAGCGTCAGGACATGTAGCCACATTTATAAGCTAAAAGATGTCCACATTATATTGCATATACTGTAATCATATTGTAACGCTGTGGGCATATTGTTAAAGAGAGGCAGAGCTAGGTGCCTCTGTGGCCCCCAAACGGTCCTTCTGGCGAGAGTTTCTGCCCACCATCGTTGGGACGAGACACACTGCCAATCGCACTCCCTTAGTCTGGGAGCTTGTGAGGTGTTTTTATTTTTTTGTTAACGTCATTTTTGTCCTGATTCTGCAGTCGGCATTATGTCACGAGATAAATAACCAGCAGAGCAGTGTAATCCTTTGTGGTAGAGGACGGCCTGGGGAAGCGCATGTTACAGAACTACCTCGGATCCCTTCGAGTGACCTTTGCTCCACAGCTTGCAGGGCTTTTAGATGACTCGTACATGCTCAAAACATCGTGACTACGCAACTGCTAATGGTTTCACGTCTTTACACTTGACTTGCTTGGAAAGGCCCATGTGATTTCGAATGTTTGCACGTTATTGGCTGTGGCCCCCTTCAGTGTGTCGACTCGCATGCCTGCGTTAAGTGATGTGTAGCGTTATATGTAGTAATAATAATAAAAACAATAATGCTGTTCTCTGTTCTTGACATGCGACCGAAATAGAAAAAGCTCATGCGTGCCGAGTAACGGCTGTGCGGGGGCCTGCATCTTTTATAGCATCTGCTGGAAATTCACGTCGCCCCGTTTTTACTTTCTGCAAGGGCCTGGGTCATTTAGACTGCACTGGGGTATGTATGTCATCATCATGAGCCATGATCGATTCACTGCTGGATGAAGGCCGCCGCAAGCCGTCGGCCATCTCTCGTGGTCCACCCAGCACCTACACACAAGCTGACCTCGTAACTCCGTCTTGGGAGCGTTCCATCCTTTGGCTGCCATCATTAGTCTCGGCCACCCGGCCGTCATCCTCTCAAGGGACATATCTTGCCCAAGCCCGCTTACTTTTATTTACAGGCAGAGTCTTTCCTCTAACCTGTGCATGTTCTCTACTAAGAATGTGCTTAAATGTAATTGGCTGGTTTGTATTTGATTTGACGAGGTTAAATGAGTTAACCCTGGACAGCAACCTGCTAAAAAGAACATTCCCCCAAAAATGTAACTTTCAATGAGTGATTCGTTGAACTTTGTCTCACTAAAGTTACCGTATTGAAAAAACACAAATTCAGTGCCTCTGGTCAATAATGTGCCTGTGGCGTCAGTCAGAGTACTTGTCAGAGTACTTAATGATTACAAATGAACTATATGCAACCTTATTAAGAGGGGTGGAGTGGTGGCACACTGGTTAGCGCACTGCATTATGAACGCAGTAACCTGGGTTCCATTCCTGGCCACGGCTAACATCAGTGACGAATGATACCTGAACCAGTCCTGGGCCCTTCACCAACCCGCAATGACCAGCATGGTGAAGTATGGCAACCCCTGTGACTGCCATGGTGTGAAGAGGCTGTCATCTAAGCAGTGAATTGACCAAGGGCTGTAAGTAATAATAGTAATTATTATTGGGAATTTTATGTGATCGGTCGAATGAACCCTGGAGCCAAGTGAGGGAGATCTTACAGGCACCACATCAGCCAAAGAGAATCAATTATTCAATCCAATCGTGACCCCGAAACTCTAAATTCACCGATCCGCTGACGCATTAATTGCTTGTATCATCACTGCAGTCACCCGGAATGCATCCAATCCCATCACACCTCAGAAGACCAGTCGGATTGCACCTGTATAGCCCTTGGATGGGTGATCACCATGCATGCCAGGTCATCATGGGCATCTACGGAGGCTGTGCTATAGGTTTTGGGCTGCAAAGGACAATGCTGCAAGATCCATTGTTCAACTGAACTTCTATGCTCTCGAATCCGCGATTCCTTCCTTTTACCAACCTGCAATGAGCAGCGTGGTGAAGTATGGTCAAATTCCAAAAGCCTGCACGACTTGGTGAGGCCCTCTTTCAGGAGTGGATACACAAAAGGGCTGTACATGATGTACACACGTACGTAATTATAAAATAACATTTTTCATCTGTTGCTATTTAGTTTGGGCTCATACAAAAGGAATTTTCATCAGCTCCAATAATTGACCTGTTAAACGATTATCGATTTTTTTGTGATTTTTGTGTTTTTGTTCACAGCTGGGGAGGATTTACGAGCAGAAGTTTTTGAACGTCTCAACTCGTCTGAAGGTAAAACAAAGTTCCCTCTGCCGAGTGAACAAGTGCACGCTCACGGAGCATGTGTGTGTGTGTGACTCGCAATCATCTGAATGCTGGATCGACTTTCATAGAGCAGCGCTCGGTCCTTTGACGCTTCAACGTGTACGGACAGTTGCATCGCGACACCGTCTGGGATGGGGGTGGCTTGGGAAGGCCTTCATCCAGCAGCAGATAGATCATTCTGATGCTGCTGATGATTTTTTTTCTTCGGTCACACATATATAGAGGCTCCCTGAATGGGCTGTACAGTGCTGGGCATTGTTCTTGGTAAGCTATGTGGTAAGTTTTATAGTTATTTACCTCGAGCTGTTATAGTTGTCTTGAAAATAATGGAAGGATGGGCAGACATAACGTATTGTAATGTAATATTTCATCGCGCTATGATATTGATGCTATTATTATCCTGTATATTACAGTGTTGTAACCTATTCGAAGCATGGCAAAGACTAGCATGTCAGAACCCTAGTAACCCTCAAACCAAGGGAAAGTTTATTTTCACCTTCAAGTAATTAAGTTCACCCTCATAAACCTTGCCATTCATCGTGGAAACCGTGCCCTGGCAGTGCTGCACCACGTGCTCTTTCACAACAGTAATTGGACACGTTGCACGGCTTTTTCTTTCCCGGCTGAAGCCCTTGGTGTTGGCTGGGCTGCAAGGGGGGGGGGCAATTCCAAAATGTTCACAGCGAGTGTCTGTTTGCTATCGTTGGTGGCCAGGTAGAGATTAACAACAAAAAAAATCTCACCATACGCAAAAGTCCACGGCCTTTAGCTGTTGACTGTTGACCATTGAAGCTATTGATTTATTGATTACATCTTGAATGAATCATATCCAGTAAAAAAAAAATAGCTTCTGTATAATGTGCATAATCGCAGTATTTAATTAAACCGATGGCGCTATCGTCGCCACCACTCGTCGTCACAGTGGCACTCTGGGCGTGATCCCTGCTCCGAGTCTCCCGCATTTCGAAGGCCGGCTGCTCAGCATCCCCCAGTTTTAAAAAAGTTGCTGATTTATCAATAAAAAAAAACACGTTTGACTGTTGTTTTTTCTCGTTCTTTAAATGAATTAATTAATTCATGCACGTGATTAATCGCTTTGGCACTACTCTGGACTTCAAGCGAGTTCCAAAAAAATCGGAGCTCTTCTCAGCGCCATCACTACCGAAGCCTCCTGACCAACTCCTGGCCGTCTCGATGTGTGCCGCGTGGATGCACGGTACAGGGGCAGCGCCGGGAGCATGTGGACGCGCACCACTCGCTGTGGTGACACGTGACAGGGGGACATGGAGAAGAGCGGCCACGAGACGGATTCTGCCAAAGGAGAACCTCCTGCCCTGGTGAGGATGCTTGCGATGCTTTGATATGAGTGGTGGCATGGCCCAGCAGTCGCTCGTTTTTGCCGCTTACGGAGATTCGTGGTTCGCTCTCCGGTTCACACCGCGGCCGTATTAACCGCGAGAGACACTCCGTCTGCTTCGCAATGGATCTTATCAGTAGCCCATGTGTGTGCATGCGCTGGCGTCATTGACCAAACTCTCAAAATTTCATACAATTGCCAAATTGGGAAGCCAGATAGCTACATTTTCCCTTTACTTGCAGAGTAATGGCCACTTGCACGATTGGACACGTACTGTGCGAAAGAAGTTCAACATACGTTGGGCACTTGCAGGCCAGTTCTGCACTCATCTTGTGCCTCACAGGGACAGCTGCCACTCGGAATCCCCTGTTCGCAGGCTGCCTTGAGATGCACTGCATGGCAGGCGTGGTGTAAATATTAATTGACGATTATTCTCACCGAGGTTCCATAATTTGTGTCAATGCCAAACTATTGGTGTATGGAGACTGAGCCCTAAAACTCTGACCTCTTAGACAGCCCCGTCCACTGGGAGGTGGTTCGTTGCCAGCTCGGGTTGGAAACTGCCCAAGGGCTCTCTCTTTTAATAAGGATTGATGTCCTTATTAACCTTTTTACGTGTCGAGATGTCTGCAAGTTTTAGGGTGTGGCCCGTTCACTGCTGAATCTCGGAACGCGCAAGCGGTTAGCGTTAATTTTATTTAGAGAAGTGTAGCCGCTGCTGTGCTGTACTCACCGCAGAGAACTGTAGCGACACCACCGCAGCCTATGATAGCTGGCGCTAAACTGTGCCACTTGCCCTCCCGCATGGCCTTTTGCTTGCAATTCCATTCAGAATCGATGCTGTTCCGGTGACGTACATGTACGTAATCAGAATTGGAAGGGTTAAAAGACAACGAATGTCCTTAGACTCAATGCCATCTCAATCCTCTCTATAAACGTTGGATTATTTTGCTCAGTTCGTACGAGTGTAGCTGCTATTGAAATGAGGACCACTTGGTTAAGCAGGGCTCAAAGCCACAGCACAGTTGCTGCACAGTGACGCAGGGTGGGGGGGGGGGTGCTATTTATTATCCGTGCAAGTTACTTCTTGTATCTTCCCACTAAAGCGCATATAAACGTGACTAAGAGGATGCATTTGCCAGATTTCGGATAATGTAGTGAACAAAACTCTACAAATGAGCCGCGATGCATGAGAAACAAATTACGCAAATAAGGAATTGATTCCTTCATCAAATCGAGACCCTGAATCTTGACAATTCATCATATCACTGGGCAAGGTATGAATATTATTTACATGCTTATTACCTAGCCAACAAGCTGCATAGCGTGCTCGTTTCACGCTTGTCGGCCGAAGACGAGCCCGCATCTACAGCTGGCGTGAGGTGCCCGGAATTGAACGTAGCCATCTCCAGATTAACAATGGTCTGTGTGCCACAAAAACACAAAGACCTCCGGTATAGCCTTAAACTTCTCGGGCAAGTGACGTTAGCGAGCACCTACGAAGTCCGGCACGGCACACGAGGGGGTGGGTGGCCAGCAACACGCCCGGCCGCCTTTGTCTCCCTTGTGCTGATGTTTACACATCGCACCAACCAGTTAGTCATTTGAGGCTGAGTCGACTTAGGGGAGGCGCAGGACCAGTTCAGATAATCTTCACTGGTGTTGGTCGTGAGCCGGAATCGAACTCTGGTCAGCAGGTTCGTAGCGCAGCGTGCTCACCGCCGCACCACCGCTCTGTGCCACCACGACCACCACCAACACCACAACCACCACCACCACCACGTGCGCATGCACACAAGCTGCCACGGAGCGCTGAGAGCTCTCTGGGGCCGATCGCTTGGCTGCCTCCACTCTTTGCTTTACGCAGGTGAATCTCCAGTGAAGTTTTAAACAAACGCAGTTTCTTTGCAGCGGGCAGGGCTGAATTTGAGTTAGGGAGGTGACCCGGAATATATTTCTGCACGTGGCCCACAATACATTCAGTATGCCTCTCTCTATGGCTTTGGATATCACGCGCCTTCAACGTACTGCAGCCGAGGAACGACGGTGAAAATATTCGGTGAGAAATTAAATCGAGAATGCAGTGGTTAGGGCACTGGGCTATATGAACCCGACAAGCCGAAGTCAATACCTGGCGATGGCTAACATCAGCAGCGAGCGGTATCTGAAACCGGTCATGGGATTCCTCACATCACATCTTCATCAACCCGCAGTGAAAAGCGTGGTGAAGTTTGGTCAACACAACCCCCAACCCCCCCATGACTGACTGGGCGTGAAGATGTCTTCATCCTCGCAGCGGCTTCTTGTCTAGCCATCGAACAAAGACGGTCGCCGGAACACACGTTTCCAAATTCTCTTCTGCGGCCGTCTGGAACGCTCTTCCTTCCGATATTAAGAACCCACTGGTACTATCGACTTTTAAAGACCCAAAGAATATGAATTCCTGCAGTCGCGAAAGCTTTAAGTGAAGATTTTAAATCTAGATTGAAAACGAACTCATTTCTTTAGAGCTGCTGTATGTGTTTAGTTTGGTGTCGTTCCCCCGCACCTCCTATCGGCACGGTTGGCTACGTACGGTGCAAAAGGAGTTCAGCATACATACAGCTAGGACTGAGAATTAATTACTATTGTTATTCATACAGTGGGGGCCGTGGTAGCCGAAGGCCGTCTCACAGCACCAAACCCCGATTACACCCCCCCCCCCACCACCACCACTCCATCACTGCCAGCGGCTCTCGCAGGCAATCCACGAGGCCGTTCCCCACCCTCGTTCCGATTCAGCTCAGGTCCACGCGACTGCACCGCCGCCAGCGCCGCCAGCGCCGCCGTCGGCTGAGAGCCCGACCTCTTTGTGTTTGCGAGCCGCCGCTACTGCTGCTGCTGCTGCGGTTTTTTTTAGGCGTTCACGTTTTTATCGAATTTAGACAATAAAACAATGACGGTGGAGTTGGGCCTCACGAAGCCTCGTTGCTATTGATCGTGCCGTTGTGGTGCGTTATAATTATTAATAATTTTTTTATAATGGAAGCGCGTAGAACGCCAACCACCCCCCACCCCCCCCCCCCCCCCCAGGCTGCTCCCTCCCCCTCCATTGCGCGCTCTGTTTAATTGTGCACTCCGCTCTAATCTTGTGAGCATCGCCTTTGCGTTTGGCAGAGCCCGTTTGTATTCATGCCAACATAGAGATGCCATCGCAGCAGCTTGTTGTACGAGGGGGTCTGCTCCGTACATCTGTCGAACTATTCGACTGATCTCCCGCGCTGCCTTCGTCTGCCCTGTTATCCTTGGTGCTTTTGGCCGATCCCTGCATCCCCCTCGTTTACAATGTTGTCTTGCTTGCTTTTGTCTGTCTGTCAAAGGTGTAACGATTCACCCCCTCCCCCCCTTGGCGGTTCGATGGATCGTAGCGATTCGACTTAAGAATCGGGTGTTTTCTTTTGAGCGTTGTGGTAAAAGTCACCGCGTAACGGAGCAGCAGTGCAATTGGAGGCCCCTTCGACTTTTGTCGGTGTGGACTCCATCAGAGGGAGCTCCAGAAAGCCCTTCTCCTAGGATACTTTGGCCTGCTCTTTCATGCTGGCCAGACATCTTTGGAAGATGTGGTAATACCCAGATTTGACCCCACCAAATGCGATCTATCGTCGACTGTGGTGTCACCATTTATCCTGCTGGGTGGACAAAGACGGGGTGGGCGGGTGGGCGGGCGGGCGGGCGGGGGTGGCAGGGAAGTCGAATTTAAAAGCTCAAATGCCACACTGGGGTAATGAATCGAATCGGTGACCTCTGGATTAGCACGGTTGGCTACGTATAGTGCGAAAGAAATGCATCACCAACACACACATATGTAGTGTCGCCAGCTGGTGGACAGCAGCGGCAACTGTGGTGGACAGACAAGTACACACGCCGGTGAGCGTGTGCACGGGTTGTGTTGGCAGAGCGGAGGAACTAGGGCAAGGGTCACGGACGACCCCATCTGGAGGCCCCTGGAACCTGCTAGTAGGTTCGAGAAGGGAGGCGCTGTCAGGGCGGGGCCAGGCCGTGCTGGTAGGATGAAAGGAGCCGAGAGCGGGAGCTCGTGGCTGCCGGTTCTGGGAGGGGACTCGTCTTATCGTCGCTGTCGTCTTGTTGCCGTCATCGTTGCCGTCTTCGCTAGATATTACGCTGCAGGATGTTGTTGAGTGTCTCGGTCAGCGCCGTCAGTGTTAGACGGCTAGTGTTGTGTACAGGCCAGGCTAAGCGACTGTGGAGAGTGTGTGGACGAGACCGTGAACGTTGTTAAGAAAGAAGGTGCCTCCTACGAACCTCGTCTCAGAATCACTGACACAACACGTATGATAGGGCTGCCATACTTCTACCAATACTGCAGCATCGCTATCAATCGAAGGGCTGTTTTACCCCCCCCGCCCCCCAATGGATTATCATAGAATTACGTACTTAATAGCGCCGTATTACACAAAGACAGAAAGAGGAACACTCGGATTAGAGAACATAATGCAAACTAAGGACATCATACCGACTGTTAAGCGTGGTAAGGGGACTTGGGTGGGAAATTGTCACAAGAGGAGGGCAATGGATGGTGGTCGACAAAAACAATGGAGTGGCAGCCAAAGCAGAGGCCGTGCCCGAGAGGAACGTCTGCTGTGGAGATGGGGCCACAAAGTCTGCTCCTGTGCACGATACATGGCCCGGTGGTAGCACGGGCGGTGAAATTAATCACGTCTGTGAGCATAATTTATTTAAAATGTAGATAAATAGAGAAGTAATATGCTGATGCAACGTTCATGGTATGGCCTGAACACAGCTTTACAAACAAGACAAAAAGCATGTAGAAATGATGCGGACGAGTCGTTATGAATGAGATAAAAAATTATCGAACCGTGGATTGAATCATGACCTCGAATCGTGCTGGTGATAAGTTACATACCAATCATCGAGTCATCTTTATGCGTGATTTATATCACGGTGTAAATGCCTTGAGAC